CCCGTAAACTCTGTTACAGTTCGCAGGTAATTATAATTGTTACTACAATAAGCCAGCTTTTACAGCTGGTTCTGATGACCTGGCAGTGGATTGATACCAGTGTTTTGCATTCATTAATCAAGGCTTTTAAATGTGGCTCAAATAAATTGTTTCCTTTCAGAGTAAAAATAAGAATTTCTGAGCCAAAGGCACCAACGGTGAAGTTTCAGCAAAATACCTGAAATTAAAAAAGAACACTGGTGTTCCAGGTAAAATATAAACGTCCAAAAACACTAGAGGGCCAGTCACAAAGATTAATGAACCTTCATCAGGCTTTGAATTCAAACTAAACTGTTAAGAGAAAATCCTTTTAATAGCATACTTTTTTTTATTTTTGGGAAGTCAGCAACACCGGATGGGCCCTAATTTATTTCTATCCGTAATTACCCTCGAGACAGTGGTGGCAGGATGTTTTCTTGAACCAGTGTATGTATGTACGTACCCAGTGCTGTTAGAGAGGGAGTTCCAGGATTTTGACCTAAAGCGAGGAAGGAACAGTGATGCAGTTCAAAATCAGCACTTTGTGTGATTTAGAGGGGAACTTGGGAATGATGATGTACCCATGAATGTGTCCATGTCCTTGATGGTGTAAGGATTGATAACCTTTTTACATGGATGGGGAAGGGGGCACGTTTCAGCTTAACACAACAATAAACTTTTAATGTGCTCTTTTGGTTAAGATGCAGAACTGGAGAGAGAGAAAAAGGTTAAGCCCCAAGTCCTGATCTCTAGGAGACAAGTTGGGGATAGGGGTTGAGCTTGAAAGTGGAGTTTAACTGACAATGACATTGGTTCACCTCTGATAGGTAAACTTGTACAAGCTGCACAGGGCAGAGTTCCAAAAATGGATGCCTTTCAGCCTGGATTTGTGCAGGCAGGAGGAAGGGTGGGAGCGATGAGGAAAAGAGTGAATCTGTCCCTGGCTCAGTCTCACACACACGCATCTACGCTTTTCTTCCATTCCTCTCAACCCCATAACCCTTTATCTAACCCAGTCCTCCCCACTCCTTACTGCCTCAGCCTCAAACTCCAACACTATTTCCCTCACCTCACTCCCTCCATCTCTCTCGCCTATTCCCCCTCAGAGGTGGAAATGTGGGACCTATGCAAGCTTCTGAACGTGTAACAGGACCAACCTATTTGCAGGAATAGAGATAGCAAAAACTGCAGATGCTGGAGTCAGAGTCAATACAGTGTGGAGCTGGAGAAACAGCAGGTCAGGCAGCATCAGAGGAACAGGAAAGTCAACATTTCGGGTTTACATCCTTCATCAGAACTGGTGTTTTGTGGAAATGTTTGCTAGTGCTGTTGGTGGAGGGTTAAAACTAATTTGCCAGAAAGATGGTATACGACATGGAGGTACAATTGGGCGTGATGCACCAATACAGAGAGGAACAGCTAAGTCAGCTTGGCAGGCAGAGTTTATATAGTCAGGTTAAGACAAGGGAGCATGAAAAGACTGGATTCCATTTCATTTTAATGCAAGGAGTCTTGTTACCAAGGCAGATGAGTTGAAGGACCTGATTAACACATAGGGATATGATATAACAGCTATCATGTTTGAGGGAGGGACAGACTGGAAGCTTAATATTCTGTGGTATAACTGTCATACAAAATGGATAGGAGTGTAAAGAGGTGTGTAATATCAATCAATAAGTCAATTACTGCAGTCGAGGGATGAAATCATTGTTCCTCAATTGAGGACAAATGGGCAGAAATTGAAGACAAAAAGGGGACAGTCACATTGTCAAGAATGTATTATAGATCCCCAAAAGAGGAGCAATAAAAGCAGAATATGGTCAATAATTACAAGTGTAAAAATAATAGGATAATAAGAGTATGGGATTTCAATTTCATTGATATTAACTGGGATAGACAAACTGAGAGCCTCAGAAGGGGTGGAATTCTTAAAATGTATCCAGGAGAGCTTTTTAAGCCAGCCTGTAAAAAGTGCTACTAGGGAGGGTGTGGTGTCAAGAAGTAGTAGAAATCTGTTGGGGTGCCTTTAAGTGACAGTGGTAATATTTACATAGTTATGGAAAAGGACAAAGATGCACGAGAAGTAGAGGTTCAGGACTGGAGAATGCCAATTTTAGTATTAAACAGGATCTGGCGAAAGTGGCCTAGAAGCAGCTACTTGCACGAAAATCTACATTACAGCAGTGGGCGTCATTCAAAAGGGTAATAGTGCAGGGCCAACATCTTCCATTAAAGATGAGGGGTGAGACCAACCAGTCCAGAAACCCTGGATGTCAAGGAATGCACCAGATTGGAAAAGGAATAAAAGGGAAGATACCAAGGGCTCAAAACACCACAAGCCCTAGAGACATATAGAAAGTGCAGGTGGTTGCTTAAAAGAAAAAGATTAGGGAAGCATGGAAAAAAAAAAACATTATTTTGCTCGCCAAAGGCACTTTTTAAATATATTAGCAACAAGAGGATAACCAGGGAAAGAGTGCCCATTAGGAACCAAAGTGGCAAAATGTGTAGAGCTGGAAGATGGTGAGGTTTAAATGAGTATTTTGCTTTTGTATTCCTTTATGGAGAAGGATAATGTAGGTATAGAAATCAGGGAAGAGAACAAATGCATTTGAATAAATAATTGAAGGAAATTTTAATGTTTTGAGTGGTTTTAAAAATTGGATTGATCCCCATTTTCATTTGTTCTCGTGATGTACATGCAAATGGTAAGAAAATATTTGGAAAAAAATTGAGAAACAGAATTAATCTCTACTTGGACAGAAAAGGATTAAACAAGGATAATCATAGCTATACCAAGGGAACATAGTGACTGATGGGTTTAATCGAGTTTCTCGTGGTGGTGATGAGGTGTGTGGAAAAGGGGAGTGCTGTTGATGCAGTTTACGTGGACTTCAGCTTTTGACAAGGTATCATGAGAGACTGGTTGAGAAGTTAAGAGCCTGTGGGATCCAGGAGGCAGAGTTTAATGGTCGAAGGTTATTTTTGTAACTGGAAGCCTGTGTTCTGTGGCATACCACAGAGTTTGGTGCTGCATCCCTTGCTGATTGCAGTGTACGATAATACTTGCTACATTCATGCCTAGATCATTTATCAGTAAGTTTGTAGATGATCACAATAATTGATTGTGTAGTAAATAGTGAGGAATAAAGCTTTAGACTACAGGGTCCATAGTCAAGCTGGTCAGATGTGCAGAACGTTGGCAGATGGAAGTTGATCCTGAGAAGTGAATTGATATGTTTTGGGAGGATTAACAAGGCAAAGGAGTACACTATGAATTTGTAGGATGCTAAGATATACAGGAGATCTTGGTGTATGTGTCCACAGATCTCTGAAAGCAACGTGATAAATATAGCTTATGGAATATTTGATTTATTAGTTGAGGCATTGAACAAAGAGCAGTGAGATTATAATGGATTTTAAGTTGTTAGTTTGGCCACCGGTGAAGTAACTGGTATTTCTGGTCACTGTGCTATTGAAAGGATATGATTGCGTTAAAGAAAGTGCAGAGAAGTTTTATGAGGATGCTGTCTGAGCCGGAGTGTTCAGCTGTAAAGAGAGACTCGATAGGCTAGAGCTTTCTTTAAAGCAGAGAAGGCTTAGGGGGTCCAGACTGAGTGTACAAAATTTAAGAGGTAGAGATAGGGTATGTAGGAAATGATTTAGCCCTTAGTAGAGGAGTCAAAAACCAGGGGCCATTGATTTTTAAGGTAAGGGGCAGGTGGTTTAGAGGGTATTTAAGGAAGATTTTCCCTCCTGGAAGGTAGTGGGTATTTGGAAGTCAGTGGGTATTTGGAAGTCACTGCCTTAAAGAGTGGCAGAGTACAATCCGTCAGAAGTATTATTTAGATAAACACAAATCACTGTAGCTATGTGCTGAAAAATGAGACTACAGCACATAGGTGCTTCATGACTGGACAAAATGGGCTGAAAAACTTTTTCCATGCAGTACAACTGAACTGTCCTGTCTGTGCAATTCGAGGTTGAGGGAAAGCCCCAATCACAGCCAGTCCAGCTGTAAATTACACAATGCACAGAAAAAAGGGACCTTTGTGTACAAGTCCATAGAACCTTGAAAATATCAGCACAAGTGGATATGGGATACTTGCCTCCTTTAGTTGGTATGTAGGAGCAAGGAAGTCTTGTTGCAAAGTTATAAAATATTGGTTAGGCCCAGACGGAATAATGTGCATTGCTAGCCACCACACCGGCGGAAGGATATGATTGCACTGAGAGGGTGCAGAGAAGATTCACCAGGATGGTGCCTGGGATGGATAGGCTGGATTTATTTTCTTCGAGCAGAGGAGGCTGATTGAGACATGCAAAATTGAGAGGCATAGATTGTGAGAATCTTTTCCTCATGGCAGACCTGTCTAAAACCAGATAGCATAAGTTTAAGGTGAGGAGTAAGTAGTTTAGAGGGGATGTGAGGATTTTTTTTCTGTGGGTGGTAGAAATATGGAATGTACTGTCTGAGGGAATGATGGAAGCCGGTCCTTTCGCAGCATATAAGAAGCATCTAGACTAATGTTTAAAATGCCAGGGCGTAGTAGTTATTGACCAAGTACAGGTAAATGGCTTTAGTTGTAGTTGGTCATCATCGACATGTTGGACTGAGGGGCCTGTTGCTATGACTATTAGTCACGTTAAAAGAAGAGACTCAGCTCCAGTATCAACACTGGGTGTGGAGAGGTTTAACTCTGTGGGACGGTAGTTAGTGTGTGAATTTTAAGTACCTCTCTCCAGCTGTAAGTTTGTGCTCTACTTTGAGTTTGACTGTTGTGGTCACACATCACCCCAGGTCCAGCGCACAAAAATCAAGGCACATATTCGTGTGGAGAAAGTGGTGCAAGGTGAAGGTGCTGCCTTTCCGATGAGCTGCTGGCTGGAAAAGATTCAACAGCTGCGCTTCTTAGAAGTGGGGATTGTCCTGAACGATATATAGTCACCGTCAAGGAAAAAAAAATGATCAGTTTCATCTTCTTGTTTGTGACAGGTTCCCACACAATCCCCGCAGGCTGTGAAAGGCACTATGTAAATGTAATCCTCTCAGTCCTGAGGGCGGTATCTGTAAGAGGTGGGCCCTACTAAAGGAGTTTGATGAGGGGCGGGCTGGCCGTCATTAAAGGCACTGCGGGCGGGAGGATCCCGAGTAATGGAGCGGCCGAAGGCTAAAAGGCCAGGCCGGGGCTGCTACACTAACACTCCCGTTGACTGAGGCGGCTGGCAGGCACTCTGCAGGGAAGACGGCAGGGGAAAGGCCCGGGATGGCGCCCCGGAGCAGGCACTCCTGGCTCGGCCTCTTCCTGGGCCTGGTGCTCGGTTTCGCTCTCGCCTCCCGGCTCTTGCCGCCCGGAGCCGGCCCCCTGAGCAGGCTGCAGCAGCGGCGGCGGGGTGGAGGACGCGGACTGGTTTGCGGCGGCCACCCGGGGCAGGGAGGCGGACAGGTCCCGCCAGAAAAAGCCGAGGCCTCGGACTCGCGCTTGGTCTACGTGGGGGTCATGAGCGCCAAGAAGTACCTGAGAAGCCGAGCGATTGCTGCCCAGCGGACCTGGGCCCAGCATATCCCAGGCCGGGTAGAGTTCTTCTCCAGTGAGGGCTCGGACCTGAGTTTGCCGCTGCCCCTGGTCGCCTTGCCCGGGGTTGATGACTCGTACCCGCCGCAGAAGAAGTCCTTTCTGATGCTCAAATACATGGCGGAGCGGCACCTCCAGGCCTTCGAGTGGTTCGTCCGCGCCGACGACGACACCTACATCCGCGGCGAGCGGCTCGAAAACTTCCTCCGGGGCCTCAACAGCAGCCAGCCGCTATATCTGGGCCAGACCGGCTTGGGCACCCCGCAGGAGCTGGGCAAGCTGGCACTCGAGCCCGGTGAGAACTTCTGCATGGGCGGCCCGGGGGTCATCCTGAGCCGGGAACTGCTCCGCCGTGTGCTGCCCCATATCGGCCAGTGTCTCCGGGAGATGTACACCACCCACGAGGACCTGGAGGTGGGCCGCTGCGTGCGCCGTTTCACCGGCGTTCAGTGCGCCTGGTCGTACGAGGTAAGGGAGGCCGGGGCGGCAGGAGAGCGCCTGCCGGAGCCCCATCATCCCCATCCCCATCCCATCCCCGTCACCCCAATCCCAATCCATTCCACACCCCGCCCCAGCTCTCCGTTATTGCAGAACTCCTGTATAACAGCTTTGCAGATGGTTTTGAGTTAATATTAGCTTTTATTTCAGAAGTTTAGTCTGGTAAATTGGAATCCTCTTTGAATTGCAGCAAGCTGCTGCACATTGTGGCCAGATGAATGAGTACCTAATGAGCAGTAAGTAACTATAGCTTAACTGATTGCAGTTGTCTGTCCTAATTAAGGCAGATAAAATACATTTGCTCATTACAGTTTGCAGTGCCGGGACGTGAAATTGGATAGTAGCGTGTGGATTAAGCCCTTGTCTTTTGACTCGAGCTTTCCAAATAAACACCTGCAGATTTACCTTTGTTATCTCTTACCCTTTTTCCCCTTTGCCCTCTTTCTCATTCTGTGCACTTTCTTGTTTCCATTCTCCCTGGCAGCAGCTGATTTTGCTCCATGATCTGTCTTTTCCTCATCTCAACATTCTCTGTTTTAAATGCCTGACCTTTTCAGTGGTCTGTTTACAGAACTCTGTTACCGTAATCTGTTGGTTTACGTTACTGTGTGTGTTTATCCGTTTCAGTTATATCACTAGCCTCCAGTATTTTAGAATCCCTAGAGTGTGGAAACAGGCCATTTGGCCCAAAGGTCCCCACTGACTCTCTGAACAGTATCCCATCCAGACCCATTCCCCTACGTGTAACCCTGCATTCCTATGGCTAACACACCTAGCCTGCACTATGGGCAATTTAGCATGGCCAATCCACTTAACTGGCACAGCTTTGAACTGTGGGAGGAAACCCACGCAGACACTGGGAGAAAGTGCAAACTCCACACAGATAGTTGCCTGAGGGTGGAATTGAACCCAGGTCCCTGGCACTGTGAGGCAGCAGTGCTAATCACTGAGGCGCCCTGTTTTTGGGTATTAGATTACTCACTTCGCAATAAATTGTAATATTCAATTTCTCCTGTACTTGTCCTGTATAGCACACTGCCTCATTATTTCCACGATCCTGTTACTCAACAGAAAGTTGCGTATGGCTTTTTGGTCATGTAAAGGCCATCTGGAATGGGTGGAGATCCTGATCCTGATCCTGATCCTTGGGTCACGCGATGTTTGCGGCAGCTCAGGGTGGTTGGACAGTTTTGCATATAGAAGGAGGTAGATGACTTGTTTCGAGGATAGAACACAGTATCGGACTCTGGGGCACACTTATGTGATTTGGTGTTTGCTGAATATGGTAAGATGTGCAAATTTTTTTTTTGTTTGGGGAGGGGCTGTCGTGTGAGAATGGAAGGCAGCATTGGTTTAGTAGGAGCAGTGCTGAAATGTTCGTTGAATAAAGGCCTGCTATCTGTTTCTGAAATGGGTGTTGCTATCTTGTTGTCTTGTAGCTGACTATCCTCAGCAGACCTGCAGGCACTCGGTTACAGATCATGCTACTGATCGTGTAGATCCCAGATAAAGGCATGGTATTTTTACCAGATCTACTTCTGGTGGAGCAGTTTTAGATGTGTGCACATCTGACGTGTGCAGTGTGGGGGTGTAATTATATGCTCTTTGGGCCATCTGTCTGGGATAGCAATGGGCAGTACAAAGCAGTAAACCTATATATGACAAAATCAAAGGACATTTAATTAACACGGTGTCAGTACTATGACTTCTGCAAACTCTGACCAAAGTCTGCAGTTAGGACCAGAGAGAGAGCACAAATGCCTCCTTTTTGTGTACGATCATTCTATCAGGGTGGATTTTAAAAATAATAGAACACAGAATAGTATAGCCCACGATGTTGTGCTGAACATGACACCAAATTAAACTAATCCATTCTGCCTGTCTATGGTCTGTGTCCCTCCGTACCTTGCATATTCATGTCCTTATCTAAAAGTCCCTTAAATGTCCCTATCGTATCTGCCTCCACCACCACCCTTAGCTTTGCATTCCAGCTACCTGCCACTCTGTTTGTTTTTTTTTAAGAAAAACTCTCCCCTCACCTTAAATGCATACCCCCTAATACTAGATATATTAGTATTAGACAAATAGGGTTAAAATAACTCAGCAGAGATGTGGGATCCGGGGAGAATACCAACAAGTAACACCCAAGAAAGGGTGAATAGGCCTAGGATAGTAAGTTAATAGGGTCAGAGTAGGGGTGAAAGAAACAAAGTCTAATTCACGTATGTATGTCATAGAGTTATATGGCATGGAAACAGATCCTTCAGTCCAACCAATCTATGCTGACCGTAATCCCAAACTAAACTGGTCTTACCTGCCTGCTGCTGGCCCATATCCCTTAAAACCTTTCCTATTCATATTTGCATCCAAATGTCTTTTAAAAGTTGTAACTGTACCTGCATCCATCACTTCATTAAGAAGTTCATTCCACACATGAACCACCCTCCGTGTAAAAAAAATTGCCTCTTCTTTAAATCTCTCTCCTCTCATCTTTAAAATGTGCCCCTAGTCTTGAAATTCCCCATCTTAGGGAAAAGACAACTACCATTAACTCTATCTATACCTCTCATTATTTTATAAACTTTTATTAGGTCACCTCTCAACCTCCTACGCTCGAATGGAGAAGTCTGAGCCTATCCAGCCTTGCCTTATAACTCAAACCTTCCATATCTGGTAATATCTTGGTAAATCTTGTCTGAACCCTCTCCAGCTTGATAATATCCTTCCTGTAACTGGGCGACCATAATTGAACACAGTATTCGAGAAGAGGCCTCATCAATGTCCTGTACAACCTCAACATCATGTTTCAACTCCTATACACAAAAGACTGAGCAATGAAGGCAAGCGTGCCAAATGCCTTATTAACCACCCTGTCTATATGTGTTGCAAACTTTAAAGAATTATGTACCTGTGCCCCTAGGTCCCTCTGTTCTACAACACTACCCAGGGCCCAACCATTAATTGTAGAAGCCCTACCCTTGTTTGTTGTACCAAAATGCAATACCTCGCATTTATCCAGATAGAACTCCATCTGCCATTTTTCAGCCCATTGACCCATTTGATCAAGATCCCTTTGTAACCTTTGAAAACCTTCACTGTCTACAATGCCACCAGTTTTGGTGTCATCTGCAAACTTACTAACTGTGCCTTCTATATTTTCATCCAAATCATTCTATAAATAACGAAGAAAAGAAGTCCAGAGCTGATCCCTGCGGAGCACCACTGGTCACAGGCCTCCAGTTTGAACAGCAAACCTCCACCATTACTCTGTCTCCTGCCATTAAGCCAATTGTATATTCAATTTGGCAAGCTTACCCTCAATTCCATGGGACATTACTTTAGTAATTAGTCTACCATGCAGTACCTTGTCGATGGCTTTACTTAAGGTCCAAATAAACAATGTCGACTGCTCTGTCATCAATCTTTTTGGTAACTTTCTCAAAAAACTTCTTCAAGTTTGTGAGACATGATTTTCCTTGCATATAACCATACTGACTATCCCTAATCAATTTTTGCCTGTGTAAATGTCCATAAATCCTTTCTTTTATAATCACCTCCAATTTACCCACACTGAAGTCAGACTCACAGGTCTATAGTTCGCCGGTTTCTCCTTGCAACCGTCATTTAATAAAGGTGCAACATCAGGCACCGCATAGATGATGCAAATATTTCTGTTAGGTGTCTCTCAATTTCCTCCCTTATTTCCTACAACATTGTGGGATACATTAGATCAGGTCCTAGCGATTTATCCTCCTTTTATATTCTTTAAGACCTCCCGAACATCATCTTCTGTAACGTGAACTGTTTCTAAAACATCAGTGTTTATTTCTCTAGTCCCCATTTCTTTCTCCACAATAAAAGCTGACGTGACATATTCATTTAGTACCTCTCCCATCACCTGGGGTTCAACACAAAGTCAACGACCTTGATCTTTGAAAGGTCCTACCCTCTTTCTGGTTACCCTCTTGCTCTTTACGTATTTGTAGAATCTTTTGGATTATCCTTAATCTTATCTGCCAATGCTATCTCATATCCGCTGTTTGCCTTCCTGACTTCTCTCTCAAGAGTGCCCCTTACACACTTTTTATATTGATTAAGAGGTTCAATTGAACCAAGTTGTCTATATCTAAAAAAAATTCTCTTTTATTCTTGACTAGAACTTTACTATCTTTAGCCATGCATTGTTCCTTAATCTTACCAGCCTTACCCCTCACTCTAACAGGAACAAAATACCTCTGAATTCATGTCATCGTACTCTTGAATGCCTCCCACTTGTCTTTTAGCTGTGAGCATCTTCTCCAGTCAACTTTTGAAAGTTCTTGCTTCATACAGTGTTAAGTCATATTATCATATTTCCACATGGAAATAATAGATTTGGCACAAGGAAGGCAAAACAGGGATACAAGAGGTTTGGAAAGATTGGGAATAGGTAGCAGAGCTGGTGGTATTAAGGAGAGCATGTCTATGCTGGAGAAGGAGAATGACCCTTCTGGGACATTGACAGAATTGATTTAGCTAGAGGTAAGGATCAAAAAGTGCAATAGCATTGTTTGATCGTTGGATTTATCAAATTTAAACTGTTTTTGGGAATGAGGTGTGCAAAGTAAATCAGGTATCAGAGGAAGAACATTTCAGGGGCAGTGAACACTGCATTGTAAGTCTTTTTTTAGGGTGACTAGAAGCATAATGAACAATCTGGAATAGGAGTAGCTAACTGGGGGGAAGCTAACTTTAATGGGGCAAGAATGGCCCTGCATTGGATAAGTTGGAGTGAAAGGTTGACAGGAAAAGCAGTAGCTGAAAAATTATGGAAGAGGGCGCATGGTACCAGGGACCCGGGTTCGATGCCACCTTGGTGACTGTGGAGTTTGCACATCCTCCCCATGTCTGCATGGGTTGTTGCTGGGGTGCTGCAGTTTGCTCCCGCAGTCCAAAGGTGTGCATATTTGTTGGATTGGCTTATAGTGTTC